ATAGAAGAAAATCGACTCGATTATACTAAAGTTGAAATTTAAGTAAATTTTCGAAAGATGCCTAAACATATTCTCTGGTTATATTCTATTTAGTTGCACACGTAATGACACAGAGAGTTCATGGTATTTAATATTTTCTTTCGTTCAGAACATGAATGAATACATTTACTTTAGTCTAGTCCAATTAGCTAAATTGGCAAAGTTGCCCATAAGCCACATCCACGCTGAAATTTCGACCCGCATCGCACCGTAGGAAGCCTTTCACGTTTCATGTTTTACATCTGCGTTTTTACTGACTGTTCCCTCCCATTTGCTGATTTCAATGTATGAAGTTTACGCCGGGAAATACACGCAGGGTCTGTGGGGCGCTTTAGGGTGGCGAGAGACATTTAACCCCTCACCTGGCGGCAGCCATATTGAAGGGCGGCCACAATGGCTGCCGCGGCCAGATTATCTCGCGATCCCATCAGAGATAGCAAAGATATTAGCGTGGATTCTAACGGACTTCCGCAGATGGCCACCAGAAAGGGTACAACACAACATATTGCTCTTTAGAAAGCTTCTCCTGCGTGTGAAAATAATTCATAAGGAATATCCCGCTGGCTCTCTAATGGTATTCTAAAATGATGTGATTCATACAGTATTAATACTATTTTAATAATTCGGAATGGAAGGGAAAAACAATTCTTGTTGAACAACTTCCGTTATGTGGTTTCAGAATACAAGGAATATCTATAATTAACTAAAAAAAAAGAAATTTATATCCTCTTCTTCTTTTAATAAATAACGTCAATTATATCTTCATTGTTTTGTGTAATCTTTTTAAACTCGTTATGAATTTTATTGCTTAGACAATTGGTTATATGTTCAGAAATAAATTTTTAATATACCTACACTTTTATTTCATTTCTCCAACAAAATTAGCTTTTCTTAATATACGTACCGAGTGTTAATACACACCATTGTAGTAGATTCCTTGGTAGACATAGAACGATTGAACCAAACTTGACTTAATGAAATCTTTTTTATCATACAGGCTGCCAAATTAAAAAAAAAACGACAATTAATTTGGGTAATGTTTCGAATGTTCATTAGTTTAGCAGAAAATTTTAGAAATTATGATTACGTCTTAGAACACGCAATTACTGTTGGAGCAAATATACTTTGTACTTTATTCATCGACAATTCGGACTAAAAATTATGAAATCTTTATTAACTTTAAGTAAAAGCGGTATACTAATTATTGAGAGTCAAAAAAACTCAATAATTTTCAAGATGCAAGCGTTTTTCAGAACCACTCTAAAAAACGGTTAATATTTCTATTGAATTAGTGAAATGCTTTTCAAAGTATTGCTAAATTCAAATTGTCTCAACTGGCATGTTTGAATTAATGCTTTTTTTATATACATTTTTACTTCAGGAACCTGCCATTAAGCAAGATTGAATTCATAATGAAACGCCCTGTATAAGTTGCTACCGTAGATTTTTTATATATCAAATAATAAACAAAACTTTCATTCCTGCTACTAAATGATTTCTAGAAGTGCATTAAAATATTTCATATGGATAGACAAAAATATCCTCTGCGATAACGCGAATACGATAATTTCTTTTTAAATTGAAATTGTGAAATTCCGAGTACGACCTACAATTATTGGTAGCTACCTTAAAATAGTATATCTGTTATTTGATATTTAAAATATTTTTATCATTTTAAATTCAGCCACTTGACCTAAAATCCTACGTAAGAACATATGATAGAATAGATTGCGATTAAGTTATATTAAGTTACACAGGATGTCCCACTGGAAATGGATTAGATATACAGGGTGTTTCAGATAACATGGACCAACGCTCGGGGGCAGATTCCTAACCCAAAAACAAGATTATTTTTTCATATCAACATGGGTCCGATTGTGCTTCGTTCCTTAGATACAGGTTGTCAAAGTTTTAAAATAAAATATGCTATTTCCAAGAGGGAATTAAATAAAATTTGTACAATTAACTATTTACAATCGAATACTCATTCCTAGGTATTATTATGTTGAACATGGATTACAGGATCGGACTTACTTGCAAGCTCTTGAATTTAACCAAAGAAAAAATTGGTTCTCCGTTGAGATATTTAATTTATAATTGCATGGGTTAAATTCTAACTCAATTTTGATAAAAAATTTACTTACTATTTTTTCGTTTTCCCTCGAGTTTTGAGTATTTTAAATGTAATATGAAAATAAACAATTATTTATTTATCTGGAATTAATTATGAATTGTAAATATACCTACCATAAACAACTCGACTCGATAAACATAATGTAACATTTGACAGGAAATGTTGAAAGTGTCCACCTTTAACTCGAATACAACCCCGAATTCGTTTTTTGATGGTCTTTCTAACTCGTCGAAATAATCCTATGTCTCGGCGAATTAAAGCGAATGCGTCTGATAACGCTGCCAAAGATCTTCCCGTGAAGTGACAGGAGTTTTATAAACAAGCTCTTTTACCTATCCCTAGAGGTAGTGGTAGAAAGCTATGGGTGTTTTTCTTTGATTAAATCCAAAGACTTGCAAGTAAGTCCGGTCCTGTAATTCATGTTCAACATCCCTGGGTTGTAAATAGTTTGCTGTCCAAATTTCATTTAATTCCAAGTGGAAATCTAGATTTTTGGAAAAAACATATTTTAAAACTTTAACACCCTGTAGCTAAGAAACAAAGCGAAATCGGACCCATGTTGATATGAAAAAATACTCTTATTTCTACCTTACGAATCTGCTCCCGAGCGTTGGCTCATGTTTTCTGAAATACCCTGTATTTGTTATTAGTAAAGTTATGGGTCAAATAAGCAAAATAGTAAACAATTTTATGATCATTTGAGGCTAAGATTTTTATATTTTTCCATTTATTTATTTATTTTCCCCGAGCGTTGTCCCTTGTTTTCTGAAACACCTTGTATTTGTTGTTAGTAAAGATATGGGTTAAATAGGCAAAACATTAAATAATTTTATGATCATTTGAGGTCAAGATTTTTATATTTTTTCATTTATTTATTTATTTTTATAATAGATTGCATCAAATAGATAGTGAAGTTATAATTCGTTTTTTAAACTGTACCTAAATTTGTATCCGCCGTCACTGGACAACGCCCGGACTGTATCAGTGTTGCCCAGTTGTTACCGTTTTAAACCAACTGTATAAAATTATTGGAATGACAGATATCGAAATATTGCTTTGATACGACTGTGGCTGTATTTTTAAAGTTACTATATTTTTTTGATGTCAATGCAGACGGAGTGCCGAACATTAAAATTTTTTTTCAATAGGTATTTAAAAGAAATTAATATTTCCTGCATGTGTTATTAAATATTAACTAATATTGATGTACGGATAGGCAAGTATTACTACTTAATTGTAATTAAAACAAAGTTTTGTTTCAAATTGATTGAATTAGTGATACTTTTTATTTTTGTACATAATAAATAAATAGAACTTGTTAATCTAATAAATTTGAAATATGTTTTAAAATCATTTTATGTTTTTAATAAAAACTACTTGTTACTATTTTTTAAAGCACTGCGCTTAGTTGATGAATATCAGTGCCGATAACCTCTGAATTCATTTGATAATATGGCAACAGGGCGTTAGTATTGTGTTTTATTGAGTTTAATTTTATAGTAAAATTTAACTATTAGTCAAGTACGGCGTTCTTGCGTGTCTTCATAGTTAAATTTATGTGTGATATGAAAAAGTATGTAAGCGAATTAAGAAAGATGAGATTTGACAACAATGCGTGTCGTAGCTTTCAATCGGAATCCGCTCGCAGATAGCACAGGCTGTTTAGTGTTAACTACCCTGTCTAAAGACGAAGTATGAAAATTACAAAAAAAAAGTAAAAACGAATGAGTTTTTACGAATGAATTGAGAAAATAAACGATCGAAGATCAAAGGTAACATCCATATAAATATGACACCTCATTGAAAATTACACCCTGTATAAAACAGGCAACATAAGAACATTCAAAATTTCTGTAGCGAAAATTTATTCTTTTATAGAGGAGTATGCAAAGAAATTTGCGTCATACATTTAATATTGGCTAAAATGTTTCCTGAACTCGACAAAGTGAATAGATTGCCAAAAATTCTAAAAAGTAGGTACAGTGCCGGCCCTTTAAAAGTGGACGACTCTTATAAGCAAACTGTCTATAATTGGCCTTTGTGAAGCTGACTTGAAAATGTGAGGTTCAAATCGGCTGTCATTAATGACAGCCGATGACAGATATAATGCATTATATCAAATTTAATGTGTCTATCATACTTGTTCTAGTGAGCATTCTATTTTTCTTTGAGTTTAAATATGCTGTTCTTGCATACATGCAGATTATCCGCAATGACCAACCATTCTGAAGTAAAGTTAAAACTCTTACTTTCTCTGGTTCCGTTAAACGCTGCATCTTGAATTACCAAGCAAATACCTAATAACACTGACATATAAAAACGTCATAATAATAAAAGTAGACCACATCACATTAGAAAAATAAATCGCCCACTTTCAAAGGGCCGGCAGTGTACGTGACGAAAGTTCAATTTACTACAATTTCCAATCAAAATCGTATTATTTATAATAATTTCGATTTTGGTATTTCCGTGAATATATTATGTATTTTATTTATAGATACGTTAAATGTAATTCCATCCCTATTTATAACATTGTCAAGCTACTCGTATTCTAAATAAAATTAATGATAGTGCGCTTCACTACGTATTTTTAATTGAAAAGTATGGGACAACTGTGCGTATATTCATATCTTCTATATAAATTATTTTTATTTATATATTAGAATAATTAAGTATAGAAAAAAATAATAAATGTATTATCTACAAGGAGTATGAGATGTTTTAAGAAATGCGGTCATGCGCTCTACTCTCCTAAATATTTCCTGTATTTGCACCTATCTTTAATATCCCTACTTGCATTTGCTACTACAACCTTTTTCTTTTTCAGCGTCAAGAATGTCCTCCGCTCAAGTATGCAGGCCGCACTTCCACGCGCCTCTGCCTCCTTGGTTGTCCGATGGCGCCAAGCCCCTGGGCCACTCCGGCCCGTGGGTCCCCTTCGGCAGCGGTGATCCGGATAAGTCACAGTCTCCAAGCTCGGCGCCCGCTCAGCCCCACAACATCTTCTCCTTTCCCCCAACGCCTCCCAAGGATAGCACCCCCGACTCCGTGGCGCCTTCGGCGGGCGCGGAGTACCAAAGTGCGGTGGCCGCCGCCATGGGTGCGTTCATGCACGAGAACCCGCAGAGCTGCGCCCTGGACGTGAAACCGTCCGGAGTTGGTTCGAGTTCCAGCAACAAGCAGCGCGAAGGTAGTGAATATGAAGGGGGCTCCTCCGGCATGTTTAATGGTAACTTTGAAGGCTCGTACGGGGCTGCGTATGCCCACGGTATTCACGGGGCCGGGTACTCGTCCCCTAACAAGCAACACCTAGCCGCCGGACAGGGCGCGCAATCTCCAAATAAACCTCGAAACAAGTCTAGAACCAGCGCCGGTAAGAAAGAGTGACGCTTAACGGTGAAGGTTTCCCATCATCTAGGTAACAATTCCAAAAGGATGTCAAAATAAAACATAACTTTATGTATCGCGTCTAGGCCAAGTAAGCAAATAAGTTAAGCAATCCGCAATAATCACTTTTGTCATTTTAGTTTCTTAGAATCATAATTCCTTCAGTGACAGCCAAACTCCATTCTGTTTGATCCCACATCCAATCAAGTTAAAGTAGCTGGTGAAATATGAGACAGTTATTAAATAACAGATGTATATTAGTAATAATCATACAACAGTGCTTAAGAAATTGTTTGTGTTTTTTTTTTTTTAGTCATAGCACACTTGTACATATCCACAAATTTGTGATGCTCTCATAAAAATGCAGCAGCTACATATATGTATAACCAATTTTGCACCATTTCAAATGTTTACTGTCAGGAATTTTATTGATAACCTTTATCTTCTGTATCTTATACTATTTAGTGTTCTGCACAAGCCCCGTGAATACCCATTGTTAACATAAAATAACCACCAGAAAAGAACATCATAATTATAGAAACTGTACGTTCTCATATAGCGTACCGTGAAATACCATTAAAAGAAATTGTTCACCAAGGGCTTCCTGAATAAATGTTTCCACCTCTACTTTCGTAAAAATCTTCATTGGACTCTATATTCAATTTGATACACTTTTCAAGTAGGGGAGTTTATATCAATATTTTCTTTAAATTGCAATGTTATTTTTTCAACCTTGTATGCAATAAGCTAGTAACATATTTTCATATGTTTTCTTAATTTTCTTTTCAGTACACAACTTTTTGAGATCATCATAAGCTGTTTCATATTGTTTTGCAGATTTTTGGGGAAGTAGTGTATTTAATGTATAAGCATAAATATGGAACCGATGTTACAGTAAAGCAAAAATACCTATACAGGGTCGGAAAGTCTCCATGGTTCATCGGCCGTTACGTGAGACCGATAAAGAAAGTCTAATAGTTACCGCCCATTTCGCCCTTCCACAAATAAGATCCACTTCTTATTTGTGGAAGGGCGAAATGGGCGGTGACTATGAGACGCCTTCATTATAGCCATCTTTCTCTATCGCACGGATTTCTATGACTTACTTTATCGCTCTCACGTAACGGCCGATGAACCATCGGGACTTTCCGACCCTGTATATTCAGTTTGAGTGAATTTTCAGGCATTTTAATTATAAATTTTTCACTACCATGTCGTTCTTTTCGGTACTACTTACATTTTTGCATTTTTCTTGAAGTGTAGGTACTCAATATAGTTCCAATGATGTCTCAAAAGATCAGCGTAACTTTCGACCTAAATACATTTTTTTACTTTCTGGTACTAAAGATCGTCTACAGTTTGATATATCGTTTGTAAGGCTGGAAGTTTACATTTGAACGGTAGCTCAGGAAATTTGGTTATAATCCACATCAAAAGACTTTTTTGTAAGGGCCATTTGACATTCGCAAGTCTGTCGATAAGTAGCGTATTGCGAAGTGAGGTGGAAAAAGTGGACACAAACAATTTCTATAATGTCTTTTACATAACAACATTATTAAACCATTCCTTATCTTATTTAATGTCTCCTTCCTATCACTTCTGTTTTCTTTTTCATCACACCTAATCAGCAATGTTTTTAAATTTCATATTGATTTTCAATTGATCGCTTAAACAGGAAAAAGGATGCCTTTGGCACAGTTTCGTTAAAACAGAAAATTTTGCTAAAAATTTCTAAATAGCGGCAATTATTTTGTTGCTAATTTTTATGTTGACATTCTTTTTGTATACAAGTTACCGACATGCTGCTCAACAAAATCACGATCACGATTATATTAATTTCTTTTTATTCTTTATTTATTTACCTAATTTGTTTTAATTTTTGTTTTGGTGCTTTTGTTTACTGTAAATCTTTCTTCTTGTTTTGGTTCGAACTAATATTAATATTCAGTGTAGAATGAATAATTCATTTACAAATGTTAATATAGTTGAACAACATAATAGAGTATAATTATGTAATAGGTTATTCAAAACCATTAATAAATAAATTAAATTGACTATTAATCTTAGAAAATCGCTATCTCGTGGATTATCAACGCAAAATCCATTCTAACTCTGGGATTAGATTGTGTGTTATGTTTTAATTTATATTTAGTATCATTGCAATACCGTATTAAGTATATTGGTACAAAAATTCATTCCTATGACGCAAGTACGTTGTTTTCTGCCACATCTAGTATAAGTTTAATGTTATTTTTCCAGACATTTACGTTATTTCGTTAAAGAGATGATTTAGTATGTTGAACCTTCAATTTATTGCTTCGTTGAGAAAATATGTTCTAAAAATAGACATCTTGATAAAATCAGCGTTTTTAAAATTACTTTAAGAGAGAAAAAAATTTATTATTATAGTATTATCAAAATAAGATGACAAGAAACAAAAACTGCGTTTGAAATTTGAACCAAATGCAGGTCAAAAGTATATTGCCAACACGATTAGCAAAATTCACGAAATTGCATCATGCTTGAACTTTATAAAAATCTAATTCATGACAAAACATTAACGGTTTTGTAGTTGTATTATTACTTACATTTTTAAGGTTTTGGTTTAATTTTTCATTTTGCTTAAAATAAATGTTTTTAACTACGTTCTTTGCTCTGTTTTTTTTATTATTTAAGTTAACGTTGTGCTAATATTGTGTTATAAATATCGGGTGTCTCAAAATTCACGCAATATTTGAATTTTGCGCATTTGTGCGGTAAAGTGTTGCCAACGAAAAAAAAACACAACGTGACAGCTGACAGTTCAAGGTTATTAAAAATTGAGCGCTGTGATGGAGGTTTAGGTTACAATATTCGTATAAAATGTGGTCGGAATAGTAATTTAACTTCATCAACAGTAAAGAGATTGATTGAAAAATTCAGGGAGACTGGATAAATTAGTAATCTTAAACATTCTGATCGTCCTTCAACAAGTTCAACACGAAACATCGAAGCAGTTCGTGAGAGTGTTGTTGAGAGTCCAGGAACATCAATTCGTGACCGTGGTCAGGAAATGGACAATTCGAGAAGTAGGCTATGGCGTATTCTCATGAAAAATTTGTATCTTCAAGCTTACACAGTTCAATTGTCTGAAGAACTGATTCCTACTGACCACGCAGAGCAAAGAGAGTTCGTTGAATGGATTATGGAAAAACAAGTGGATGCTGATTTTCAGAACAAAATCATCTTCAACGATGAGGTTCATTTTCATTTTGATGGCTTTGTTAATCGACAAAATTGTCGCATTTGGGTTTCAGAAAATCTAGAGTGATTGTTGAGAAATAAATGTCTTCACAACGTGTTCCTGTTTGGTGCAGATTTTGGGCTGGAGATATCATCGGACCATTCTTTTTCGAAAATGTAGCTGGTCAGGCAATAACACTTAATGGTGCTAGCTATCGCGACATGATAATCCAGTTTTTGTGCCTAAATTGCAAAATATGGAAGTAGACGACATGTGGTTTCAACAAGACGGTGTCACATGCCATATAGCCCAAGAAACAATTCAATTACTGCATGAGTCATTTTCTGATCGTGTAATTTCCCGTTTTGTGATCAGAATTGGCCACCCAGATGTTGCGATTTGACGCCGTTGGCTTTTTTCTTTGAGGTTTTTTGAAGTCTAAGGTTTACGCCGACAAGTTTATGACCACCCACGCCTTGAAGAAGGAAATTGAGCGCTATATCAACAAAATTCAGTCGCATTTATGCAAACTGTAAATAAAAATGTGGACAACACAGTGCTATACTTTATACTTCATGAATCAATAAAAAATTTACACATTTTCTAACAAAATTACTTCTTGCGTGAATTTTGGGACACATTTATATTTGTCAAATCATTTTTAGATCCGGTAAAAAAATAAATGATGTAAATCTTAAAATTCATGGGATGTATTAGCTTTAACGAAAGTAGTATTGAAATCACTATTTTAGAAGTAGAAATAATTTGTTTAATAAACATTTCACTGTAAAAGTAAATTAGTGAAGACCTTAAAATAACGTTGTTAAAATATATATAGTTAAATATATTTAGAAATTATTATTACTACACTGAATATTATAGTTACTAACTTGTACTGTTTATATTAACATTCTTAGTTTTCTTGGTTTAACTTGACTTTTAGTTTTTTTTTTTATTGCAAATGGAATTCTGTTCGCAAGCGCTTTTTTGAACACGAGAGAAATTTTTTGTGGGTGTTTTCACGCACTCGCATTTTTGTGAGCCACAAGATTTTTGGGCTGATACCACACAATTTTCTGCGTGTTGCACAGCAGTGACGCAACTTCTTTTTCTTCTGGTCTGTTGGTAACATCCGTTCTGGTCAACAATTAACGAGTTGCACAGTATCCGCCATTTTATTATGACGATGCGTGAAGCAAGTTAATTAAAAATTGCAACGAAACTAAAAGTGACTGCGTAATGAGGTTGAAATAGCTTCTTTTGTTTCCATTGCTGACCTTCGCGGGAATACTGCGTGGGAACCGTTGATCAAGGGGTGCCATGATGCTAATTAGCGATGTCGTAGCAGATCGTCTATTGTTGTTTGTACCCGCATACTTTTACGTTGTCGAGAATTTTTAATCCTAATTGAAGTGCTATACTCGCATCAGATGCACAAACAACAGTTCTGCCAGTTTAAGGTATGCTTAGCGAAAAGGACAAGTATCTTTTGTTTCTGACCCGCTTATAACTGTCGATGAGTGGAAAAGATTGTCGAAGTGACTAAATTTTTATTTAGAGGAATGCTTATGGGGATTTACAGCTTTATCTATCATCTAGTGATTCAGTAACAGTACCAAAATCGCCATTAAATTACTGATAGCTTCTATAGATATGATGACATAACACATATGAGTTAAATAAATCATGTTGGCTACAGATACAAATTCTCGTTCTGATAATGGAGATATAATAACTAAGCTTTAACTGTGTAAAAAGGATTT